ATGTTAGCGAAGGATTTAGAGAGGGTCTAACAAGGTGACAGCTCAAAATAAGAACGGACTGTTCTTAAGACATCTAAGCCCATGGGACATGCACATGAGGAGGTATTTTTGGTGCAGCATTATTTTAAGGTCTGAGAAAAATGTGGCTAAGAATCACGAGGCCAGCTACTGCTAAAACTGCGTGCGCACACACACACACAAAAGAGTGGTTTTCATAAAGGCATTTCGACAGAAATACATAAATCCACTGCAGGGGTCGGGGAAGATCTGGGGATCAGAAAGGCTTATTCAGGAGATCAGCCTACTAATATTAGTCATGTACAACAACAAACTGTGTATATAAAAGCAGAAAAGGCTTAAACGTGGCTGCCCACAGGAATGGAGGGAATGTGCTTCCTGCCGGATATGATATTCATTATCTTTAGATTCAAACATCAATCAACCAGCAACCCCCTTTTTATGCACAAGCCCTATAATACAAACTCAACATAAAATTGTAAATCTTTTTTTTTTATTCTACAAATTTCCTTCATATGTCTTTACTGTTGTGTTTTGCATGCATTTCAATAACAATGAGCAACTGCTGTCAGTCTTTGGGAGCTTTGAATTCTTTCCACAGATAGAGTCAGAGGGCTCCGTAGCTTTGTGCTTTCAAACAATGTAAAGTCTGTTAAAGTTGAGAGAATAGTCATAAGAAAACTGCTTGTTATGGGTTACAAGAAAAACATAAATAACTTATGATTCCTGACCTTTCGTCAAGGCCTGGATGCCCAACCTGACCGTGCCGAAATTGCCCTGCCCGATCTCTCCACGCAGCTCGTAGAAGCCGACTCTTCGACCGAGCATCAGGTCGTTGACGATCCTCTGGTCGTGGGCCATGTCGTAGACGACCCTCTCAAACGGTGACTGCCTCATCCTCTCTGCTTCAGTCAGCTGCGGGATGGCACATGTGGCAGCCGAGGCCGGCGACTTCTTGGCTATCCTTTCCACCACTCGAGCCTCGTCTTTGGATTTTTTGCTCTCCTTCTTTGGCCATAGGCGTGCTTTGATGGCTTGAAAAGAAATTTGAGAAACAAACAATTTGAAAGCCATGAAGATATTTGGGTTGCTCTGCAGATGACTGTAGAAATACATCAGCACCACTGTGTGAAATGAGCATGTGGAGCTTGTTCCACAAAACAATATTAATACTCAGATAAAAGTACTTTTTATTCAGTAATGTGTACGGAGGAAACAGCCGGGGACACTCTTAAGTTGTTTTTGTGCTGGACCTACAGGTCAAATGTGGGGCGGTTACATGTGTAGAACATTGGTAATGAGATTGACCTTCACGTTACCTTATGAGCTAAAACGTCTGGCCTCTTTCACAATAATCCTAACCTGGTTTAACATGATTTTATAAGTTGTAGGTTCTGTTACAAGATGGAGGCAAACAGTAACTGATTATGTAGATTTGAAGTTAGTTTGCAAATATACATATTTTCTATTGTTTTATCCTTTTGTTGCCGACATTCAGTTTATAAATGAACTTAAATTAAATCTATTTCTCAGGATACGGGGAGCTCTTCTTTTGACATTTTATTATAAGACTCTTTACACCTTTCTGGTGTCGCTTTGTGAGTATTTTATCAGCTTTGGAAGTCCAGAGGATGCTGCTGATATCATCAATTTCAACACGTTTGCATACATTTTGTTTTTAATGATGGACAAAAGCAGGATGCGTCAACCTTTCCTGTTTTTTTCTGTTCTGGGAACACAAGTTCATATTCTTTCCACACAGTTCTCAAGTCTCAGCACATTTATTTAAAAAAAAAAAAACTGGCCAAAGTACTCATATACTAATATTTGAAGTAAATTCTTACGTAAAGCTTATATCCTGTTTCTTTTGTTTTTACAGGAAACAGTTGATTAAGGTTCAGCACTACACAAAGAGCAACAAGCGACGGGGTTAGATGTCAGATTGTTCCTCCGTCGAGGCTTGAGCTCTGCAGATATAACCTCTTCAAACGACAACAATTTTGAAGAACTGAGTTAAATGAAGTTAGATGCAATGGTTAATAACACTGATAACTGACATTAAACTTCTGTTAATCTACAGTGTAATAGTACTGTCTACCTCCTCCTGGTCATTGTGGGCTAAATTTAGTTCCCGGTAGGCTTTAAGTGGCCAAGATTACGATCTTCTTTTAGACAGCAGATTTAGACACAATACAGCATTAGTGGGTCTAGTCAAGTTGAAATGGTTAAAAATAAGTCGATACTCGATTATTTCAAACTTAACTTTTTTTCTCACTGCTAAACTTTCTTGTATTGTACTGTATTCTGCACATGTTACTTGTTGCTGTCTGCACTTTAACATGAAGCACTTTGAATTTACATGCAGTGAATTATGCTGAACATGTCAATCACATTGCCAAACAGTTTAGGGCTAAACATAGATGTATATTTAGACGTCACACAGCCAAATGGCTGTTGAAATAGGCTAAAAATAATAAAGAACCTTTGGAAAAGGGAATACAAGTAGTAAGTGTTTGAAGACTTTTTGTCATTTAAAAGAAAAATCTTTTACGAATTCCTTTCAGATTGGATAGAAGCCAGGAAGTAGTTTTGGGTTATGGAGAATACGGTTGGCTGGTGTTTAGCTATTGTAGCAGACTATTGGTAAACCATAAATTATTGACATTAGTTTGTATTATCTAAAAAGCAATCAAGTCCTCAATTTCAGATGTTAAGTCATTAATTGAGGGTTAAATCATCCATCTTACTGATGAATTAAAGTAGTTAAGAGACAAAGCTTTTGTTATTCTGGAAGACAAACACAAACAAAGGGTTTATTCATGTCTTGGTACCCAAAAGTTATTCTTTTCAATAGCCAATAACTGATCTATAAAGCACGAATAAACTATATTAATCATTATTGAAGCCATGAATTATACACTATAAACCCTTTATGAGTGTTTTATTAGAAAGTGGTACCCACATTTCAAACAATACAATACTTTCTGCAAACTTTTCTTAAAATCTGACAGAAATATTAGAATAAAGCAGATCAATTTACCTGGGCGCTGCGGATCCTTCATGTCCGTCACCTCAGGCTCACCTGACTCTCACTGAACACGTGAATCGAGCCTCAGAGGACTAAATCACTCGTCACAATCCTATTACCACAGTGTATTAGTGTACCGCTCATCAGGTTATTATCCGACAGACAAACGATGGAAATGCTGCATACACACTTTTAAAGATAAATAATTCCTGTAGGCTATCAGACAATCTTGCACCTATAGTAAATTAGTTGCAAGTCTGTGAAAGTGTATATATAGATATATGTATACTTAAGTTTGGCATAGACTCAAAACAATATATAACATACTACATTGTGTGTGAATTTAATTGTTGAAACATTAATGTTACACATATTAGCAGTAGGCTAATGTTAACAGCTAAGTTTAAGGGGAATTCAGGGGACTCTTTTGAGAAGGAAAAATATGACTTAAAGAGGTCATTATTATAGCATAATATGATGCTAATAAAAGATACGGTTCAATATGTGCTTACGCTTGTTTACATAGTGGAGCATTTAGCATTCGCTTTGACATTTCCCTCAGGAGTTGGTGGAGACCAAAACAGAGGAAAAAAGGCTGAGCAGAGAAACTACTCCAAAAGAAAGCTACTGTTGCTACATGTCGCCTGTTTGCTTACAGTTTGCCATGTTAACATCACTGGGTGTAAAATAGCTGCGTTATGTTCACAGCGTGTTTCTGCTGCCACCAAGTGGACAAAAAGCATCAACAGAGAAAAGGTTCGTTTTATCCAAGTCAATTCCTTACTGGTTGAAGTAAGAGGATAATATTCTTCATCTATTGTATTGCTTTCAAAATAAGAAAAAAACAAACAAAAAAAAACAAACAAACACGTGATTCACAAGCATCAACATCTTGACATAGCCTCACCGTGCAGGGCAGGATTGACGTTTACTTCTAGCCAATAGCCAGAGCTTGGTTCACATTCTGACCAATCACCGACGAAGATTGGTTGGCGGGAGAGGAAAGGGCGGGGCGTCAGAGTGACTAGCTGACGAATCAGCGCAGGCCCCTCACCGAAAGGCCGGAAGCACATGCTGGCGCGCTGCTGCTGATGTTGTCATCTTGGACATGTTGCTGGAAATCGGTAGTGATTTGTCTGTTTTTTGAAGTATAACTATCGGTTTAAAGACGGAGAATGGCAGCAACAGTGGCTACAGCCGTCACCCCCACGGAGCCCGACCCGGACCAGTGTGGGATTGAGGAGGAGAGCCGCGGGGCCGAGGCGGAGGAGGACAGCACCCAGCAGCAGACGGGCCCCGCGGCCGCCGCAGTGAGCCACAGCAGACTGTCCAAACTCCCGCTGGCTCGTATCAAGGCGCTCATGAAGACCGACCCAGACGTGTCACTCGCCAGCCAGGAGTCTGTGTTCATCATCGCTAAAGCCACGGTAAAAGAAACGCGGAGGAAGTGCGACAACAACTCCGACTGCTTTACGTTACTCCCTGTGCTATCACAGCGCGAGAGTCGACAGCTAGTCACCAACGATGTCTTTATCCTGATGCAATATGATTATTATCTGTAGTATATCAATGTGTTAAGTGAAGTTTATAGTGAACTCCACCAGCTAAATTGGGGCCTAAACCTGCAACCATTGACGTACTTTCACCTGTTACACTCATCAGGAGAGTTGTCCTCTAATGTCATGTTTATTACATGTAGACTTTAAAAAAGGTACCATATGCGAGCTGGCAGAAACCTAAATGAAAAAAAATATATATGAATATTTATTTAAGGTACTTTGTCTGCTCGATGCAAGCAGCGCGTGGGAGTTAATCATTCCTACCTTTACAAATTTCGGACTAAAAAGTGAATATATATATATATATATATATATATATATATATATATATATATATATATATATATATATATATCTCTCTCTCTCAAGGTAAACCAGGTGACACAGCATGTCCTATACTTGACAGAAAAATTAATGAAAGTCAGGAATGTGAAATGCATTGTGCACAATTTGGTCCCATTTATTTTGGCTTCAGGTTGAAATCGATACCGATATCAAAAATCATGAGTTATTCCTACTAGGTTCTGAATTTGATTTAGTTTCAAATGACAAAATATTCATGCATTTCCTTCTTACAGGAGTTGTTTGTCGAGATGATCGCCAAAGATTCCCTGGTCTACGCCCAGCAAGGAAAGAGAAAAACTTTGCAAAGAAAGGACTTGGGTAAGTGCTGTAAAGAAGTTCTGAATGCGGTTTGCAAATACACACAGTCATTGTTTAAAATGAGACAGTGTTATTGATGTTGGGCTCAGACCAGATCACAACAATTTAGATTGTGTGAAAATATAAATGATTACTCATTTAAGTTGACATTGCGCTGATTTTTGTAGAGGAAAGTAGATCATCAACATGTTCACTTGGCTGTTGACAAACCTTTATTTAAATGCAAAGATGTTTAGAAACCTGAAAGCTCTTTTAACCAGCTCTGACTTTTTGTCTCCCATTTCCCTTCTTTACCTCTACAGACAACGCAATAGAGGCCATAGATGAATTTGCATTTCTTGAAGGTAAGACTCACCAGGACATTTTTAGAGCCTTTTTTATGCCTCATCTAGTTAAAGTTCTCTCTCACATGTGTAAGATAAGAATGCATAACATACAGCATGTTCATGCAAATGTGTGCACAAAGACTGTAGACATTATTGAGCACGTTCCTATATTGAATGCATGTACCAGTACAGTTTTGTTCTAATTATTTTATTTTTCTGTAGGCACACTAGATTAAATGCTGCTCCAAATGACGAGAACATTGAATATCTGCAACCATCCAAGAAACCTTCTGTCACGTGAACATCTTTCTGCTACTTTTCTAAGTCAAAGTCTCAAAATGGATATTTATAAATGCTTTTCTACAATGTCCCATTAAGATATTTCATACTTTACTTTCAAGACATCAGTGGTAAAATGTACATTGTTTTTCTGTAAATATTTGTGAAATACTATTTGTGAAGTACAATAGAATAAATGTAAGTTTTAAACAAACCGTGTCTGTCAGAATCAATCTTCATCAGTTTCATACCCAAATTTGCAAAATAAAAATTAATTCATAAAATATGATATTCTACATATTCGTAAAACTAGACAAATGTACTAAAAACAAAGACATGTTGCACACTCTTAGTCCCAATGCAACTATTACTATAAATCAACTTTACCTATTAGTCTCACACTAGACTGGGGTGATCATTCAGGCTGGATATCCAACTTTTCTTTTTTTTTTTTAAACATTAGATCAAGAGGGTAGTTTTGATATGGCGTGCTGAGGACTGCAGTGCAAATATTTTTCGTGACTATATATGTCATTTTGCAGCATTTCCCTCCAGGGCTCCCTGTTCTTTTCTATTGATATTTTTGTTGATCTAATGACTAAAATTACCCTCAAATTAAATACTCGGAGCCAAATAAACTAAAAAAAAAAAAAAAATCTGATTAGAAGACATGAAAATCATGTAGACTGAATCTGTCTTCCTTAGGAAAGACACCAAGATGTTTCTAGATGAGAAGCAAAACTCAAACCACATTGTTCTAAATTACTTCATTGTATAGCTTCCTTCTGGCTTCCTGTACAGTACAGCGAGACCATTTTTAACGTTCTGCACCAAAGTGAGTCAACACCTCTGTCCAAGGTGCTGATCCCCAGACCTCCAGGGATGAATGAGCTGTCACACAGCATCTCAATCGGATTCAGGTCGGGACTTTGACTAGGCCACTCCAAAGTCTTCATTTTGTTTTTCTTAAGCCATTCAGAGGTGGACTTGCTGGTGTGTTTTGGATCATTGTCCTGCTGCAGAACCCAAGTCCGCTTCAGCTTGAGGTCACGAACAGATGGCCGGACATTCTCCTTGAGGATTTTTTGGTAGACAGCAGAATTCATGGTTCCATTTACCACAGCAAGTCTTCCAAGTCCTGAAGCAGCAAAACAGCCCCAGACCATCACACTACCACCACCATATTTTACTGTTGGTATGATGTTCCTTTTCTGAAATGCC